GATAGATAGATAGATAGATAGATAGATAGATAGATAGATAGATAGATAGATAGATAGATAGATAGATAGATAGATAGATAGATTCTTGTGATGAGTTGGAGATGCTTGCAAAAAGATAGGTTTGAGACACAGGCAACGACCAAACATTCGGACCTCTGCAACTCCGTTCATCCATTATCTATACCCGTTTTTTCCTTTCAGGGGTCACAGTGGGTCACTGGTGCCCATTTCCAGCAGTTACAGTGTGAGGGGCAGGGTACACCCTGGACAGGTCGCAAGTCCATCACAGGCACACATAGACAAACAGGACAATCATTCACTCTCTCACTCACAATAGGGACAATTTAGAGTTATCAACTAATCTGAAAGTCATGTTTTTGTTCTGTGGGAGGAAGCCGGAGTGCCCGGAGAGAACACATGCATGCACGGAGAGAACATGCAAACTCTACCCAAAAAGGTCCCTAGGTCGGGATTTGATCTGGCGACCTTCTTGCTGAGAGGCATCAGCTGTACCAGCTGAGCCACCGTGCTGCCCCCTCTGCAGCTCAAACAAGAAAATTGAAACTGGTCCATTCCAATTTGATCGAGGGGGTTACATCTGTATATCGGTGCAGATAGGTTTTATTTTCAAATTAATTAAAATATGTCAGCAATGGAAGACTTGTCCATCCAGCCGTACATAGAGCCAGAGTCTGACCCAGGGCCAGAAAACGAAGACCACCAAATTGTAGTTGATAAATCCAGACCTTAATTAGCAGTTTTGTTGCAAATACTGTGATAATAGTTCAGAAAACATCATAGAAAAAATAGAGAAAACTGAACGAGTTGAAAAATGAGACTCAAACAGAATATAACAATATCTACTATCTCCTTTGACCTTTACTATTATTAGTAGTACTATTACTAGTATTGACGTTTTTCTCACCTGTGTTGTCTCCAGAAAGCTGAATGATGCTGTCAGTGTAATGTCCCCTCACAAGCAGGCTGATGTTGCCATGCCTGGCTGACACTTCTCCAATCACACAGCTCAGTGGGTCTAGTAATGAACAGTTGGAGTTCTTGAAGAGGAATAGAAAAAGAGGAATGAATTTCTCCATCACCACAGCAAAAACACAATTTAGACAACATGAGTGTAAATTCTCATAAACACTTTCAAACAGTAAATGGTCTGCAGGTGCATTTTCACAGAGCACAAAGTTATTTTGACTAAACAAATCTCAATGATCTGACTGCACTGTAAAGGACAAAACAAATTTGTTTGACGTGCCATGTGGGAACTTTTTATTAATGCATGCAGAAGTCTTCATATCCACTTTTTTGTTTTGCTCAAATGATCATTCATCATCATAATAATAATAATAATAATAATAATAATAACCTGGTCTGCTCATTTAATGTGTTTTAAGTCACTTCTTTTACTTTAAGCAGTCTGGAAAAATACTAACAGTTTGATTTATTTTTCAAATTGTACAATTACATCAAGTGGCATATCAACAGATGTTGTCAACCAAGGCTGGAATGAAAACATATAAAACTGGTCTCACCAGTGAGACCATGTTGAAGGGATTGAATGTGTCTCCCACATTGCTGCAGTTGGTGGTGTTGGCCACACGGTTGGATGTGATGAACAAGGCGGACTCATTTGTCTGTAAACGAGTAAACATTCAGTAAAGTGTAGCATCTTAAAAATAACACTTTCAGGTGTTTGTAGTCTATAGCACTGTGAAAACAAAAAAATCATAATTTTTTAAGACAAATTTATAACTAAGCATTTTTGTTAGTTTTTGAGAGTTCTTACCAAAAATGATCAATTTCACCATCTCAAGTTTAAGTTCTGTGTGCTGTAACTTGTACTTACAACTTGATTTGAAGACGAAAGGTCCACTTCCAGAGTAACGTCATTGCTGCTCCCATCAGGAAACATCTGCTGGAGCTTGTTGGAAGAAAAAGAGAAAGTGTTTAAATGTGAATGGACATTTCAACCAGTTGCTGTCAAACTCTTATAATACATGTAGTCGTTCGGCTTGTGTGAAGCTAGTTTATCTTTGTAAATAACCAGAAATAACCAGACTTAGTTTTTCTCTTGAGGATATTTGGATGTTTTCTAAGTGCTAAGTGTAGTGCAATTCGCAGCATGGGGTCTCTGCATGGCAGCTGACAAAGACAGCTGTTCCACTAAAGATACTTACATGTTTTTTAAATCACCAACAAGCAGATAGATACTAAGCTAAGACAGAGATTTTAGCCCCTGTTAATCAGAGGCAGAATACGATGGCTGTGTGCAGCATAAGTACTCATCTTAAATCACGTTTTTGTGGCAGCTTCACTTCCAGTAAATTTGATAGACATCTACTGTATGTTTAGTTTGTTTAGCAAAGCAAGTTGACTTTTAGCTCTTTTGTGTGAAGGATCAGTCCTTCTCATTCATTTTCCAACATAAATAGGTTTGAATATGTTGCACCTTATCTTTTAGGAACTTTAAATTTTACATTAACAAGCTCACTGAGAGTGGAGAGTATTGCTTGCTACCAATCGATAACTAGCTTTGAGGAACAGTATATCTGTGTGTATATATAGACAATATTTATGAATGTAGGCATGTATGTATGTATATCTTTATATGTATGGGTATGTGT